CCAGGACCCCCCTCGGCCCCCCCCCAGGCTCCCCCCAAACCTGAGCATCATGCCAAGGCACCAGCACACTGCCAGTGGGACGGAGAGGGAATAACGAGCCCCCAGTGTCGCTTCTCAAAGTAAGAGACTCTGATGGGAGAAGGAGAGAAAAAGATTGGTGTCCTGGGACCTTCCCCTCCCCCTTGTGTTTCCAGCCAAGGCACGAGCTCCCACCGCGTGGGCACGGGATGCAGGAGCGGAGCTGCTGCAGGGTCCTGGGTGCCAACACAGGAAGGGATGCGGTCCGGAGGGGCTGGCAGAGTGGCCACACGAGATCTCCTCCCTGCCAGCCCCAGATCCCACCTCGCCACTGCCCAGCCTGGCAGGCATCACCCCCATAGGATGAGGGGCTCAGGGTGCCCCCAGGGTTCATTGTGGGGGGCTTTTGTCCTCTAAAAGACACAGCAGGGACTTGGAGAGAGGGAGACCACCCCGACACACGCTACTTCCCTGCAGCACAGCCCCGGCACACGGAGACATGTGGAGCATGGCCAGCAGCGGGCACCAGCCCCAGCGAAGCCACTGACTATGCACTGTTGTTGGGCAGCCCTGCCCACGCTCCTGCCCGCTCTGCATCCCCAGAGCAGCCGAGGGAAATGCAAATTCAGGCCATCCTGATCTCAGCAGCTCCAGCCCCATCTGGTTCCTGTTAAATCAGCCACACGAGGTGGGAAGGGTTTCCTCCCCCCGTGCTATAGCGTGCAAAGAGAGGGAGGTAAAGCAGCTTTTTAAAGACATGGCTGCCCTTCTCTTTACCTTCCTGCCTGGAAGGCAGCCAGGAGTGGCTCACGCCTCCCTGCTCACATCTGGAGGGGATCTTCCCCTCCCGGGGCTCGCGGCACACCTCATGCCAGGCACCTCTGCACGGGCATCGCTCCTCCACCCCGGGCACACACTCACTCTGCACTGGGGCTGGGTGGCAGAGCACAAGGGTCTCGCTCCTCTTCTGTCACTGCAGCAGCTTTGTCTTGAGCTGCTATTTCCAGCCCGTGGGACTTTCCAATGTTTTCATCCTTGAGAGGAACCGGGCAGGAGAAGTGCAGACCCGCTGCAGCGAGGGATGCTCCCGCCCGAGGACAAGCAGAGGCTCAGCCCCCCATGGACACACCCCAAAAGTAGAGGTTAGCTCATCCTAAGTCCAGTCTAAACTTCCATAAAACCTACATCACCTTCGAAAAAGGCTCGAGCGTGCTGCCCAGCCGAAGGAGCACCGATACCCACCCGCTGCCAAGACCCTCATCCTCCTCGGGCACGGGACTGCGTTTCACTGGAGTCCCCTGGCAGGTCGAATGAAGCGGGTTCTCCCCACGCTGCAATCCTTAAGTGGAACAACCAGCAAGGCTGTAATGCACGGGCGAGCCCTGCCACGGGCGGAGAGGAGCTGCGGAGGAGCGAGCTCGCAGGAACGGAGCCTGCACACCCGGTGGCAGCAAAGAAACACGGACGAGCGCGGGCAGGGGCCGGGCAGGCAGCACCGGGATGCTCCGGGAAGATCGGGGAGCATGGTGGAGCCCAGAGGGCAGGATCCTGCGAGCACAGAGGTGAGGGGCAGGACCCTCCCTGAGTCCAGAGAGTCGGGGAACGGCAGAGGTGATGCCAGCACATGCAAAGCCCGGGGTGTTTTCAGAGGTGAGAATCCCACACTGCTTCCTAATCATCCTTTTTTTGTTGTTTTTTAACCAAATCCCGAAGCGTCCCCTTGACTTGGACCACCAGCTACGGGTCTACACCTGCACTGCTCTGCTTACACCACCCACGCCAGCGCTCACTGGCCCCACAGCTCCCACCCAGCCCCGTCTCTGCAGCACACCCAGCCCCACTGTGCTTTAAAACCCCAAAAGAGTCCCTCGCCGTGCTCAGGGGCTGAGCTCCACACTGGCATGGCCTGGGCAGGACCCCGCAGCACCCTCCTGCCATGGGCAGGCAGGAGCGGGCAGCACCCAGAAACCTTCCAACTGCTGGCACAGGGGGAAGTCCTCGGCCCAGGAAAAGCTGCGGTTTGCAGAGCGGCTGGCGCTCTCCCCTTCTTCCTAACGTCTCTCTGCAAACACACTGCTCATTTGCAAGGCCTGTGGCTCCAAAAACGGCCCTTCAGGACACAGCACGGCCGTGTCTCACCACGCCATGTCTCACCACTGCCCTACAGCGAGCTGGAACGAATTCAGGCTCCTGCCGAGATGTCCCCGCTCCGGGAGCAATGCAATCAGGCAGTGCTCCCCCAAGCAAGCCAGCATTTATCCAGCGAGCACGAGGGAGCAAGGAAGGTCCTCTGGTTAGTGTGGGCAAGTCACAGCCAGCCCTGGCAACATCTCCCAACCACCTGCATCTTTAGCTCGGGCTCCGAGCGCGTTGGAGGATCCATAAATACTTTTTCAAGATCTAAGGTTTGAAGGAAGAAACGTCCCCGAGAGGCAGCTCACCCCAGTGCTAACACGGTTACTCACACCCAGGTGGGAGCAGAAGAAGAATGAAAGAGGTAAACTGAGTCATACAGCTGTTTCATTCGCTATTTCAAAATAACGGACACGAGCAGGATCAGGACTGCCATGTCCCCCAAGAGCTGAGGTTGGCCAAGGAGCAGTTTCCCCTTTGGATGCCTCAAAAGATCTAGCTCTGTTTCTCACGTTAGCTCACATCAAATATCATTCCACTGCTATTTTTGAAACCTGCAGAAGACAAACCAGCCACCTGAAATTTTACTCTTGGGTATTTCCGAACGGCTTCACGGCGGAGCGGCTACACTGAGCAATTTTTGGGCTGCCCGCAGATGACAGTGACAGACAGATTGATGGCAACGAACTTATTTTGTCTCCTTTCGCAGCTGACTAAATTTGCATTGGTATTTTCATGGTACAGACTCCACCTTTCATCTAACATGATTAATGCTGTTGTAAATACAGAGAAAGAACCAGCTGCTTCTGGCTTCTTAGCTTCTGCCGAGCAGCTGATGAAAAAGAGTCCTTTTGTTCAAGCATCTCTAGAGCCTCTGCAGACTTTATTGAAGAGCCTTTATTTCAAAAGGTTAGAGAAGTGCAGTGTTTCGAGCTGGTGCATCCTGCTTTTCTCACCACAAATCTAGTGGGACGCATCTCCAACTACCCTGGCATGGGAATGATGTGGGACAGACAGACAACCTCCAAGGGGCAAAGTCATGCACAGAACATGATGCACGCAGAGCAGAAGCAGCGTTGTGGCTTACCTGGCGCTTTGGAAGGTCGCAGATGCTGATTTTCCAACAGCCCCGAATCCAACTCCCACTGCCAGACCCTCTGAAACAGGAAGGAAAACACCAGTAAGGTCAAACCCTACAACAGCCCCAAGACTGTCTGTTCTCCGAGACTCCAACGGAGCAAAGACTGGCACGAGCAAGGAAGCAGGATGCCAGGCCAGGTCATTACCCTTCTCATTTTAATCTAAATGCATTTAATCTAAGCTCAATGCCAGAGCCTGCCACGCTGCCTGGGGTACATCCCCTCTATGAACCCAGACCAAGCGCTTCTTGGGAAGCCCACGCAGAGAGGAGAGGTTTCTGTGTTCACGAGTGCACTGGAGGGGAAAAGATCACAATCCTCAAGAGCTAAAACGTGATTTTAATGAGGGGCATAGCAGTGCAGAACACCAAGGTGTGTGCACAAGGACTCCGCTTGGCAAACCTCTGTGCAGAGAGCCGCCTCTGTACGGTGCAGACAAACTGGTGTCACGGGAACCGAACACCAACTTCTCCCATAAACTGCCCGGGGGTTGTGCTAAGCCAGGACCAGGCTCCCAGCAATGCCACCTCCCCGCTTTCCAGTCTCCCCATGCCCAAACACCAGCACAACGCCTGTACGGACAGTATCCGAAGCAGAAAGAAACCCAAACTCCATGAGAAAATCTCCACCTTGCAGATTATTTTAGATTACAGTTAATCCCATCATTTTAGATTACGGTTATTCCCATAAACCCCAAAGAAAACCAGCCGAGGAGCCTTCCCAGGAGGGCAGCAGCAGCAGGAGATCTGTGATCCGCCACTGCCTGCTCCATGCAGCTCCTTGGGGATAACTGCTCCATCCTTCCCCGCTCCCCTCCTGCCCTTTCTCAAACTTCTCTTACCCTCCCACCGCTGGCACAGCTCCCTCATCTCTCCCAGAACAAAATTAAATCTTATTTTCAGAAAGCATCAAACTACTGCCAGTTTTTTTTCCTTGGTTCAAAATGCCCATTTTTGGTTTTTCAGCCTCTCTGGGTTCACTCCCCTCTGAGCAACATGGGAGGGGGCAAAACCAGTCGAAGAACAAAAGCAGAGCTGTTTGTGTAACTGGTTGGGTTTTACAGCCTCCACGGGAGGCAATTACCCGTGGAGGGGACAGTGGGGACCGCTCAGATGAGCGTTCAAACAGGTTGAAAATGTCACCGAGAGTGTTTACCTGTGTGCTGGAGGATGAGGTCTCAGAAGAAGGGGACCGTGTGTGTTTGTGGTCCTCTGAATTTCCAGTTGCCGTGGAAACACACCATAAAAAGCAGCACTAACTCGGGTAATGATGGCATTTGCATCCTTGAGTCCAGGCTGAGCACGGGGAACTGAAACACTCGACGGCTCCTCAGAGCCCCGATCCAAGGCTTGTGCCAAGGCTCAGGATGGAGACTGGGAAAACAACAGCAGCCATCGACCTTCACGCAGAGTTACGGGGTAAGGAGACTCCAAATTATCCCCAAAACACCACAATGGGCTGATAAATCCATCTAGTGAAAGAGCCAGAGGAACCAGGGCACACGCCAGACCCAGGAGGGATCACACGCTTGTGCAAAGCTCTTGTGCAAAGCTCTCATGCTGCCCCAACACCACCCACCAGGGAGATGGGCGAGCACCCAGGGCAGAAGCAGAGCCGGGAGGGCTGGGTGGCCAAAGAGGCTGCACCTGCCGATGGCTGTGAAGGTCTCTGCTCTGCAGGCACTCAAGCAAACTTTGAGGAAGATCTTTTTAAAGACTTTTCCTGGCTGTGCTCAGTACGGCTACGAGGACGTCAGGAAACCCTGCACAAATGGGTCTGGGACTGCTCTTCCGGAAGATTTCTTTTTCAGCAAGACTTGCCCAGAGAGCAAAATTCAAAGGACAAAAGCGCTCGTTTGTGTGAATAATGCAAATAGCTTTGACAGAGGGGGAAAAACCACAAGCAACCTCGCTGCAAAGCGAGTCGCACGGAATAGAAACTCGGCAGCGCAATTAATGAAAGTACAAGTTACACGTACGTGGAAACAAATTATGGGAAATTAAAATCAACAGATGGTGCGTAGTGAACTGCTTATTTGGAGAGGGAGAAGCAGCCGATGGTGGAAGCTGCGGGATGGTGGAGATGCTCAGCAGCACGGAGAGGAGGAGGTGACACAGCAGCCTCCGGCCAGGTCCTCGCTTCCCATGAGAGGACACGAGCGCTGGGGCAGGACGAGTATGACCACAAATTGACCACGGGGCTGGTGACCCCAGAGCATCTGATGGCAACTCGCAGCCAAGCAAGTCTGGTGTCACACGTGATCCAGCAGCAGCAGGGACCCCAGTACGTCCCACGGTCAGTGCCGATGCTTGGGAAGCCACTAATTATATAGTAGGTATCGTGTGACGTGCTCAGCCCATCGCTGAGCTGTTTCAACTATTTCCTTTAGAAAAGCCTAGCAAGATCACACAAAAACTTCATCTCTTCAATCACACAGGTTCAGGCTCTTTGGAAGAAGATGTCAAACCTCCAAACGCCTCTGTTTGGCAGCTAAGCAAGCAGATACGCAAAGATTTACACGGAAAACAAACAGAAAGAGCTCGCTGCCAGTTTGCCCACGCTCAAAGCTCACAGCCAGCTCAGCGCTCTGGTTGCAGCCCCTCTCCCGAGTATTCTGCACATACTCAAATGATAAATAGCTCAAGAAGCTTCTTCAGGTGGGAAAAGACACAAAAGGAGAAAGGTTAATGCTTCTACGTCAACCGCTTTCAGATACGCTGCACCGAAGGCTCTGCAAACGGATGACTAGGACGTTGGGTCGCTGGAGGTGGGTATGGCAGAGCAGATCTCCCCACCCACTGAAGGCTCAGCCACCAGCGATTTCTGGTTCCTGGCACCACCACGAGCAAAGGCAAAGAGGAGCAGAGTCCTGGGCAACCCCGAGCAACTGAAGGATTTACGGTGGGCCACGGCTCTGCAGAGGGCAAGGCAAAAGCCCCACGGCGTGGGACATGAAAGAGGGCGGAAGGCAGGTGTGCATGTCCCACAGGAAACCTGGCCATGTCAGAGAGGGTTTTCCCGAGGATTTCAGTGGCTGAAGCAGCTGTCAGTCCCTCTTGCAACCAGTGATGAAACTGGAAAAACCGGCAGCTCCACACAACCCTGTTAGCTGGAGGGCTCGCACGGTGAAGGCACCAGGTTGGGGTGTTAATTCGGTGTCTCTTTGCAGAGTTACAGAACAAAGAAGGAAAAAAAGATATGACCAGTCTCAGCCACTGTCAAGAAATTGCTTCTATTTAACCTAAACAAAGAGATTTTGCCTCTCTTGGGCTTCCTTGGCTTTACAATTCAAGGCGCTTCATCCTGATAAGGCATTACCCAGGGATCAGACTAATCCTACACTAACTTAAGGCTCAGCTGCAAACCTCTCAGCCGGCAGCACTCACTGCAAAGGCACGTTTTCCTCTGCTTGTTTTCTGAGAAAAGAAGAAAAAGTTTCAAAATCTCAACCTGCAAAGCGATAAACGTGGTGGAGGGTCACTACAGAGACTTCTGTTAATGCTGGATGGCTACGGGATACGTTATGGCATCCCGATGAGCGCGGTGGCAAGGGCAAAAGCATGATATCCACAGGTCTCCTTATACACAAGGTCAGATATGGAAGAGTTGGGGGGCAAAGATCTAAACCAGGGCACCTTCATAGCACCATGGACAACCTACCAACCCCAAAGCCAAAGGGAACCTGTTCTCTCTGCTTTGGGAGCTCATCCCATCGCTGGGTCATCCTCCTCCACTCTCCCTTAGCTTCTGGCTGCTGCTGTGGGCAGGATCAGCTCCCTCCTCCGCAGCCTCAGAGGACACGGTCGGAACAACGTGGATGGTGGCCACGGGCACAGCAGGAGAGGACCACATGGGAGCGGGAACAGCAAGGACAGGTCTAGCGAGGATGTTGCTCTGAGCTCGAAAAGCATCTTCACAGGGAAGACAGCCAGCACGAAATTCAGAAAGGAAAAGCCAAGAGGGAACGCCACAGCAAGGAGGAGTTGATGCCAAGGGAAGGAGCGTGGAAATGGGAGCAGAGCAAAGCTAGATGAGCACAGAGTCATGTCAAGGCAGAAGATGACAGCACGGTACGACACGACGGCCACAGCACTGAGCAGAGCAGCCGAGGAGAGAGTTACACAGCGCATGAGAAGCTGGCAAGGAGGACGTCAGCCACGGGAGCAAAGCAAAGGCCACGCTGCTCCCAGCACACCTCTGACACCTTCACGCTTGGCCTGAGGTCCCCAGCTCCGCCAACGTTCAAGCACCGGTGAGCAGAGGGGACTCAGACACATATGGCATGCTGTTACAGCTCTGGTTTTATTTTTACTTTAATTTCACTTCAGTGCCCCATCAGTAGAGCTGCAAAACAGCACAAGATGTTCCGACTCATTGAGCCAGGAGGACAGTGAGAACATTCGCGTCTGCTCAAATCCACAGGAGCACAGGAATTGGCTGGGATGGGCTCTGGGATGAGGCCCAGCACTGATCCACATCCTCCTCCTCGGTGTGGAAAGCACCACACTCCCACCCCATGCTGGGGTGTTCCTGGGGAGGCCAAAGCTCTCCAGCCCCAAGGGACCACATGAGATGGTGCATTACCATGGTGCTCTGGGCTACAGAAGGGTGTCTTGCCTTCGGGATAGCCCAAAAAAAAGCATCTAGTGCTGCACTTTTCAGGGAACTCTTCTCCTTGGCAGGGAGGAAAGGAAGGTCTGCTCAGGCAGGAGAGAGGTACTGGCATCGAGGCAGCCCGGCCCCATCAAAACAAGCCGTGGTAGATGTGAGATGGTCCTGGGGCACCTGGACAGGGCTCTGTGCTGCCAGTTCCTAACCAGCCCTGATACCAAAGACCTGGGCGAGGATAAGGCACGTAATATACAAACAACTTTAAAAAGAAGAGGTTTGCTGGAGAGATGCTCCTCTGAAAGCAGAAGGTTCGGTCATTAATGGAGACAGCTCCGCGCAGCCCGGACTCACTGCTCAGCTGCACACCGAGGGTGCCGTACGCGTTCGGTCAAAGGAGAAGGAAACCT